AAAAAAAAAAAAAAAAAAAAAGAAAGTTAGCTGTAAAATAGTTAAAAAAAAAAAAACTTATATTTAAAAGTAGTATTTAAAAAAAAAAAAAAGGAATTTTAAAATTTTGCTTTAAAAAAAAAAAAAGTTCCATAATTATACCAGGGCAAAAAAAAAAAAAATAAGTTTAAGGACTGTGTATTCAAAAAAAAAAAAAGGACTGAGGATTGGTTTGCTCAGTACATCACCTGCCTCAGTCTTCTAGTGGTTTTGTAAAAAAAAAAAAATCAGTGGTGGTTTAGTTAATGCAAAAAAAAAAAAATCCCGATAAATCAGTTGAAAACAAAAAAAAAAAAAATATTTAACCTCCCAAATATCAAAAAAAAAAAAAACCTACCTTAAACATTCTTAGAATATGTACATTAGTCAACAGTTGGATAAAATCATCTAAAAAAAAAAAAACCTTGTAATAAAGTGCTGAATAAAAAAAAAAAAAAATTGAATACTGAAAGTGAAAAAAAAAAAAAAAAAAGAAGTACAGTTTCTACTGAATGAAAAAAAAAAAAACACCATCGTAAAGTCAAAAAGTCATAAGTTGAACCATCCTAAATTGGGAACCTTCTGTAATAGAAAAAACCTCTAGGTTTGAATGTGTTCCCAAAAAAAAAAAAAGAACATCCCTTTCCTACTGGAGAAAAAAAAAAAAACAGTGAGGTATGACAATGTTAAAAAAAAAAAAAAACCTTATTTCTTAATGTGGACTAAAAAAAAAAAAAAGCATTTTATGAATATTATCTATTCTATATAATAGATCTATGAGGTAAATATTCTTTTTTTTTGGAGACAGTCTCTCTTCTCTGTTGCCCAGGCTGGAGTGTAGTGGCCTGATCTTGATTCACTGCATAAAAAAAAAAAAAGGCTCAAGCGATTCTCCAGCCTAAAAAAAAAAAAAAGCTGGGATTACAGGCATGCGCAAAAAAAAAAAAATAGTTTTTTTGTAGTTTTAGTAAAAAAAAAAAAAAGCAATGTTGGCCAGGCTGGTCTAAAAAAAAAAAAATCGAATGATCTGCCTACCTCGGAAAAAAAAAAAAACACTGCGCCCGGCTGAGGTAAAAAAAAAAAAAAAATTTTTCTTGCAGAAAATTGATTCTTCGTTAAACACCTTGTCTAGCTAGTAAGTGTTGAAACTGGAATTCAAATCCAGCCAGTCTTACAGAGGAAAAAAAAAAAAAAAAACACTTTCCTATTATAGTAAAAAAAAAAAAAATGAGGCAGGAGAATGGCGTGAAAAAAAAAAAAAAAGGTTGCAGTGAGCTGAGATCCAAAAAAAAAAAAAAAGCCTGGGCGACAGAGCGAGACAAAAAAAAAAAAAAAAAAAATTTTTTTTTTGAAGTAAAAAAAAAAAAAGGAACAGCTTAGTGGAATACTGAAAAAAAAAAAAAACCATTATCTTTTATTAGCTCTAAAAAAAAAAAAATTACTAGATTGATTGAGACTGCAAAAAAAAAAAAAGTAATGTTACGTTAAAGTTAACAAAAAAAAAAAAACACAGTGGCTTGCACCTGTAATAAAAAAAAAAAAAGAGGCTGAGGTGGGAGGATCTTAAAAAAAAAAAAATTCAAGATCAGCCTTAGCAAGTCCCCCCCCTCCTTTTTTTTTTTTTTTTAAAGTTAACCAATGCTAATTTAAATAAAGTAAGTATATTTTAAATAAAGCCATAGTTGGCTCCTAATTATCTCTTCTAAAAAAAAAAAAAAGTTCAGGAAGAGTTTAGCTTCTAAAAAAAAAAAAATTTGTATGTTCTGCCTTTATCCAAAAAAAAAAAAATCAGCAGGAAGGCAAAAGTTTTAAAAAAAAAAAAAGACAGGAAGTATAATTTAGTGAAAAAAAAAAAAAATAGACAGTGGGTGGTTTTGCTGTTCTTTTTTTTTTTTTTTTTTTGAGACGAGTCTAGATGTGTCGCCCAGGCTGGAGTACAGTGGCCTCGAATCTCGGTTCACTGCAACCTCTGCCTCCCAGGTTCAAGCAATTATCCTGTCCTTAGCCTCCCGAGTAGCTGGAATTACAGGCCCCCGCTACCACACCTGGCTAATTTTTTTTTTTTTTGTAGTTTTAGGGAGATGGGGTTTCACCATATTGCCCCAGGCTGGTCTGAACTCCTGACCTTTCCTGACCTTGTGATCTGCCTGCCTGGGGCTCCCAAAGTGCTGGGATTACAGGCATGAGCCACGGCGTCCAGCCACTGTTCTTGATTTTTAAAAGAAAAACTTGCCCATAATTTATACAAAATTATAGTAATGGAAACAGTCTTCCTCTGCCTACCATAGAAAACAATTTTTAATTTAAAATTTTGACTAGAATATTCCGATTCCTCAATGTGAATTACTCTTGAACCTTAATTAGCCATTTGTCTTCTACAAAATATGTATTTTATTCCCCACCATACATATATTTCTGTTCTAAGGAGCTTCAGACTATACCTGGTTATCTCCAGTACATAAATCAGTTTTAATTTGTTTTAAAACAGTAGTTTAGGGGAGTAAATTAGAATCTACAGTTGTAGGGAGACCCACCCTAATCTTATTATGCAAATGTTCTTTCCCCTTGACCGGTGCCATTTTGGCTGCTCTTTACAGTACACGTGGCTGGCAGAGAGAAGGGAAGATGGAGCCGCCATTTTGAAACTGATTGGCACAACTGCCAGCTTCCACGTCTGCAGTTCTATTTTACAGGCTGCTGTTTGTTAGGAAAATGATTTGGGGCTGCTTTTCATTAAAAGGAAAACCTTACCGAGGACTCGCGTACCCTATCTGCCTAAGTAATTTCTGTTTTTTTTTTTCTTTGAGATGGAGTCTTGCTCTGTCGCCCAGGCTGGGGTGCAGTTGCCATATCTCAGCTCACTGGAAGCTCCGCCTCCCGGGTTTATGCCATTCTCCTGCCTCAGCCTCCCGAGTAGCTGGGACTACAGGCGCCCGCCACCTCGCCCGGCTAGTTTTTTGTATTTTTTAGTAGAGACGGGGTTTCACCGTGTTAGCCAGGATGGTCTCGATCTCCTGACCTCTTGATCCACCCGTCTCGGCCTCCCAAAGTGCTGGGATTACAGGCTTGAGCCGCCGCGCCCGGCCCTGTTTTTTTTTTCTTTTGTTTTGTTTTTGTTTTTGAGATGGAGTCTCGCTCTGTTGCCCAGGCTAGAGTGCAGTGGCGCGATCTCGGCTCACTGTAAGCTCCGCCTCTCAGGTTCAGGCCATTCTCCTGCCTCAGCCCCCTGAGTAGCTGGGCCTACAGGCGCCCGCCACCACGCCCGGCTAATTTTTTGTATTTTTAGTAGAGACGGGGTTTCACCGTGTTAGCCAGGATGGTCTCATCTCTTGACCTCGTGATCTACCTGCCTCGGCCTCCCAAAGTGCTGGGATTACAGGCATGAGCCACCGTGCCCGGCCAGTAATTTCTTTTTAACTCCTATGTCAATATTAACATAGAGTAGTTCAAATGTTGCAGTCAGACTGCTAGGGTTCAGTGCTGGTTCTGCCATTTACTGTTTGGTGCCCTAAGTTACTTAACACCTTACTAGCCTCTTGGTGCCCCAGTTTTCTCATCTGTAATATTTGGACAATAATAGTACCCACCTATTAGGGTTGTTAGGAAGATTTGGTTTAAAATACATATTAAATGCCTAACATATAGTAAGTGCTGAGAGCATGTTAATTTCCCTTTCTCTTTACTAGCAAAAACGATTATGTGATTTACATATGGTAGTGATAGCCTCTGTTGGAAATTTTGACAGGATTAGGTAATTTTAGATTGTTTTTCTTTTTAGAACCTCAAAGAACACTTGGTATCATTACATGAAATGCTAAAACGTATATGTGCAAATATTTTCATAAAAGTCTTTGAAAAACCCTCTACTTCTTCCCAAGAAAGGATCTCACTGAAGATTACTTGATTAAAAAAAAAAAAAAAAAAAAACACCTTGGAGCACAGCCAAAAAACCGGGAATGAAAAAATAACTTTTCATGCCCAGAAACTGTGTATGTATAATCAGAATTGTACGTCTTAGGATGTTAGGGAAGCTTTCTTTGTTCCATAGAAAACAAACACTGGCCGTCCACTTCTTGGACTTGAGAAATGTTGAAAGTTTCTTTGTAAATGGATGTCTAGGGCAGGACTGGCAGGAGGAAATAATTCTTTTCCCAAAACACTTCTTTTGCTTCCAGTAAGTGAAGGAACATTGTTGAAACTTCCCTCACCACACCCTCTGCTGATTATTTGTGAAACTCAGGTGAGTTAAATGTGTAGTGCAAGCTTGTCCAACCCGCAGCTTGTGGTGGCTTTGAATGCGGCCCAACACAAATTTGTAAACTTTCTTAAAACACTATGAGTTTTTTTTTTTTTGAGATTGTTTTTTTAAGCTCACCAAATATCGTTAGTGTATTTTCCGTGTGGCCCAACACAGTTCTGCCATTGTGGCCCAGGGAAGCCAAAAGATTGGACACCCCTGGTGTAGTGGTTCCTCCCCCTTCTCCCATACTTGACCCTTATTTGAACTAGGATTATTTCTCTTTGTTTACCCTCCTGGATGAGTGGAGGAAGTCCTTGAAATCTATTTTACTGCTACTGTTATTACTACTTTTTAAAATGGAAACATACACAGAAGTAGAGTCAGTGAGCCCTTATGTTTGTAGCAGTTAGTTTTATCCCACCCCTACATTTGACCTACTTGTTCTTGTCCTCAGCTTTTAAAAAAAGCAAATTGGGAAGGGCAGAGGCGGAGGAGAGGCCTGCGGCAGCAGGGAGCAGCGGGACTGGGAGCGAGCTGAGCTGGAGGGGGTGGCGAAGGCTGGCGCGGCGAGCAGCAACCGTGTAGGTGTTTCGGACACTGTTCGGGACTGGAGGCGGGTAAGGCCGGCAAGGGCGGCCCGATCCCGCAGGAGGCCATCCAGCGGCTGCAGGACACGAAGGAGATGTTAAGCAAGAAACAGGAGTTCCTGGAGAAGAAAATCGAGCAGGAGCTGACTGCTGCCAAGAAGCAGGGCACCAAAAACAAGCGTGCGGCCCTCCAGGCACTGAAGCGTAAGAAGAGGTATGAGAAGCAGCTGGCGCAGATCGACGGCACATTATCAACCATCGAGTTCCAGCGGCAGGCCCTGGAGAATGCCAACACCAACAACGAGGTGCTCAAGAACATGGGCTGTGCCGCCAAGGCCATGAAGGCGGCACATGACAACATGGACATCGATAAAGTTGATGAGTTAACGCAGGACATTGCTGACCAGCAAGAATTTGCGGAGGAGATTTCAACAGCAATTTCGAAACCTGTAGGGTTTGGAGAGAAGTTTGACGAGGATGAGCTCATGGTGGAATTAAGAACTAGAACAGGAGGAACTAGACAAAAATTTGCTGGAAATCAGTGGACCCGAAACAGTCCCTCTACCAAGTGTTCCCTCTATAGCCCTACCATCAAAACCCGCCAAGAAGAAAGAAGAGGAAGACGACGACATGAAGGATTTGGAGAAGTGGGCTGGGTCCAGCGCGGGCTGGGCCAGGTTTCTGATGGCCTGCGCAGCGAGCAGGCGTGTGCATGTGCGCGGCAGGCAGGATGGATGTGGTGCAGGCAAGTTCCATCGCTCTCGACTCTCACTCCAAAGCACTGGGATCGCATTGCTGCTCGCTCTCTGCATAGCATGATCTGCACCTGGTGGGACGGGCGGGGGCGGATGGAGGAGAGGGGCAGTGGGGGGGAAGTGCCTACTGTTTATAATGTTGAATTTCTGTAAAATAAACTGTTTGCAAATCCAAAAAAAGCAAATTCTAGAGATGTCATGTTGGCTCTAATTACGTTGGTATGTGTCTTTTAAAAAGATATTTTCCCCCCATAACCACAGTGCCATTATCCCCACCTAACAAAACTGATCTGTTGCCTTAGATTGATCTGAGTCTTAGTGTCCTCAGATTCCTTTTTGTTATCTAAAATATTAGAATATATTAGATAAATATTGAAAATATTAAAATAGATATATTAAATATTGAAAATATTAAAATATATTCAAGTTTGTGGTTATCACTTTTAAATGACCCATTTTTCATTTACATATATTTTGTAAATGTTTGACTTTCTAACTTGCTAGGGAAATTTTCAAACAAAAGTAGGTGGAATCCATATAAGAAACCCTCATATACTTATCACTCAGCTTCAATAGTTATTAACCACTCTACTCATGTAGGAGGGGAAATTATCAAATGCCCAAGTTTGTTTGATCTATTTCCCTCCAACTTCCTCCTCCTGAATTATTCTCAGGCAAATTCCAGAGTGGATATTATTTTATTGGCAGTCTAGTCTGTATCTTTGAAAGAGGGAAAGGATTATTTAAAATGAGTGTGTGTGTATATTTATATATGGATAAGGATTCTTTAACATGAGTTACATATACATATATAACATATATATAACTGGTGTTAAAGAATCCTTGTCTTTTAAAGATACAGACTATATCTGCATATGTATATATCCACAATACCATTATCACCCCTTCATTCTTTAATATCTTCAGGTATCTAGTATTCAAATATCCATTTGTCTCAGATGTCATAGTTATTTTGGTAATGGTTTGAATCAGGATCCATATAAAGTCTCTACCTTGCAGTTGGTTGATAATGACCTTTAAGTCTAACCTTTTAGTCTATAGTCCATTTTACTACCTCTCTTTGGTAATTTTTTTTTTGTTCAAGAAACCACGTTGTGGCTGGGCGCGGTGGCTCGTGCCTGTAATCCCAGCACTTTGGGAGGCCGAGGCGGGTGGATCACGAGGTCAGGAATTTGAGACTAGCCTGGCCAATATGGTGAAACCCCATCTCTACTGAAAAAAAAATACAAAAATTAGCGGGACCTTGGTGGCACGTGTCTGTAGTCCCAGCTGCTCAGGAGGCTGAGGCGGAAGAATCACTTGAATCTGGGAGGCGGAGGTTGCAGTGAGCTGAGATTGTGCCACTGCACTCCAGCCTGGGTGACAGAGCAAGACTCCATCTCAAAAAAGAAGAAACTATGTTGTTCTAGTGTTTCTCAGAGTCTGGATTTTAATGATTACATCTGTGGCTCAGTTCAACACTTTCGTATGTCCTGTATTTCCTGTAAATTGGTAATTGAATCTATAGGTATACTTAGTTTTAGAATATATAATATATGCACATAGTAAAATTTAAAACAGTTCAAAAGTCTTTGTAATGAAATGTCGGTCATTTTCCCACACAGTATTTTAGGTATCTTCCCCAGAAGGAATTATTTTGTCTAGGATGAATGATGTGTTTTTATTAAGCTTTATATCCCATTGAGCACACTAAATATTCTTGTAATTTTGAATATACTAAAGTTATTTTGTAAATTTTAGGATTTGATTTAAATGATGCAAAAGCACATGGTGCCAGTCACTAAGGTGTAGCCTTTTATTTTTGGTAAAGGAGAATTTGTAAGGTGAAATGATAGTGAATTAGAAGTTGTAAACCAGATTCCTTGTTACTACACTGGACTACTTTTCATATAATGAACAAGGAAAATCAGCTCTGTAGGGCAATGTTAAAAAGAGTTGTCTTGGCTGGGCACGGTGGCTCATGCCTGTACTTTGGGAGGCCGAGATGAGAGGATTGGTTGTCTCTAGAAGTTTGAGACCAGCCTGGGCAGTATAGTGAGACCCCCATCTCAACAGAAATTCAGAAATTAGCCAGATGTGGTGGCATGTGCCTGTAGTCCTAGCTATTCGGGAGGCTGAGGTGGGAGGATCACCTGAGCCCAGGAGGTGCAGGCTCCCATGAACTGTGATTGTGCCACTGCACTCTAGCCTGGGTGACAGAGTGAGACACTGTCTCAAAAAAAAAAAAAAAAAAAACCAAGAAAAACTTCTTTGTTAACATTATACAGTATCTAGTATTGTTAGTTTTACTTTCTTAAATGTGAAGATAGTGAAGTACCATAGTTTTCTCGTCTGTAAAATAAGGGCATTGCTGTGTTTACATCGGTGGCCTTTGGTAGGTCTTGAGTGAGAAAGTATCTAGGGAGGAGACCTGAATGTTAATTTCCTTTTCTGTAAGTATGGCCATAATTAATTGTGAAACTCTGCTATTTTCAGTAGAAAGTTTTAGGGACAAGGCACATGGCCAGGAATGTCATGCCCAGTGTAATGGGTTAGGTTGGGATCAAGAACAAGTCTTTCAGAGTGAGCCAGGCAGTATTATCTGAGCCACTTGGTCAGGACAGGTTATGGAACAGTTAGAACAGGTGAGTCATGTCACGTGTACCATACCACAGTCTGCTTTTCCTTGGCTCCCCTCCCCATGCCTACTCTGGTCCCTGTCTGGCAAATAGTACAGTTCAGAAGATAGGCATTAGATCAGTTTTAAGCATATAGGAAGAATGATAATTGGATTACCAGCAAGGCAGAGCAGCAGATCAGAGGCCATAGGGAACTGGGACCAAATAAGGAGACTCTCCAAAAGATGCAGATACAGCTCTAGCAGCAAGGAAACACAAACTGGTTGCAAAATTACATGTGTAAAGTCGATTGAGAACAAAAATAAAGCAGCAGTCCTGGCTCCTTAAGTGATAGTTTCTTTTATGAGACCTCAAGACAGTTTACTGATAGGAGTATTCCAACTAAACTTCTAGGTTTGAATAGCAGGACATTACATGGAGGTAATTTTTTGGAATATATTTCTCTTCAGCTGTGTAGAGATAAGCAGATAGGTAGATTTGGACCTGGGATAATTGTCATCTGTTATGGGGAGGGAAAGTATGGGATATAGGAAGTCTTTTCAAGTCTTTTAAAACTCCTTTAGTAGCTATTTTACTCATAGACTCTTGTGGCCTAGAGTAGGCTTTATAATTTAGAAAGTAGTGCTAAGTGCTTACTTATCTAGATACAGAAACAAGTTTTATGATGTTTCCTGGGTTTAGAAGAAGAATTGTTTAAGACTAAGAATTTTGTTTTCTTTTGGAAAATCTTTTAAAATCTAATGTAAGTAGTTTGGGACAAAATGCGGAAAGAATTAGGACTTGCTTTTGGTTTGCACTAGATGTGTTTCGTTTTTTGGTGAATAGTGGATAGTAAAGGAGGAATAGTTTCAGGGCTTGTCAGCCGATAGGGATTGAATACTGCTGAGGTGAGGCAAGTCTTGCCACCAGTGTTTGCGCCCTAAAACTTTAATTTAGGCAAAGATATTTCTCTTCTGGATATAATTCTGAAAACAGAATAGTATGTTTTAATGTGCATTAATTTCTCTTTACAGCTTTTTTTTAAGCATGGCTATTTAATTTGAGTACTTCCACTGTTGTTAGTCAGCTCATTAAGTACGAACTGTCAGCCTGTGAAAAGATGATGCAATGAGTGAGCGCACGTAATTTTGATTTGCTTTGAACAAAGTACACATGGGTTGGACCTGCGTAATTATAGTATCAGCTGGATACTGTGCTAAGTAAATCTAACCACTCATCACAAAGCTCTTATGAAAATGTCAGACTCAGAAATAGTGACATGCCCAACCATAGACAAAGATGTAGCTTCTCTTAGGGCAGGAAGTCCAGGCTTTATAGGGAAGATTAAGATGCTATTTTGCCTTTAAAAATTTGGGGAGGAAGAGAGAGTCTTATATGTGTAAATGGGTATATCTAAAGGTCATGATATCATAATTTACTAAGTAGACCAGCCTTTTATCAGGTATCACAAAGTAGAATTTGGTAGCTAGGACAACTCCCCCCTCCCATTCTTTTCTTTTTTTCTTTTTTTTTTTTTTTTTAATAGTTGTAAAGTTTCTGGGAATTTATGGGAACATGCTTTTCTTTCTTTATATTCTTTCTTTAAAAAAACCCTTAATTTTCGTCCTCATTTTGCTTCCTACTCCCTCTTAGTAAAAAGAATAACTTTTGTGAAAGGGAGAATGACGTTGTGAATTCAGCAGGTTCAGACAAGTGTTGTGAGTGTGGAGGCCAGGAAGCCATGTATACCAGGACCATGTTACTGCCTAAGAAGAAATGAGAGAGTTCAGATGCAAGGAAGGTGAATAGAGAGTCAGTTTCAGTTCCCGTTGGTTACTGTGATTTATATGGATCTTCTGGGACTGATGTAAAGAAGAGTTGTTTCACCAGACTTACTGGGAAGCCCTCTGTTTTGTGTCCCTTGTGATAGTGATTTTAAATCAGAAATAAGTCATCTGATACGGGGAAAGAATAGTGTTTGGATTTATTGCTTAGTTACAGTGACATGTATGCTGTTAAAGTGATGAAATTGTTTAGTGTGAGTTAGCGTATATCTTAATTCTAATGAAACTAGCTCTAAGTCTATGTTTATGCTTGTGATTTTAGCTTTTACTATGGTAACCTCATTTCTATCATTAAAAACAGTAAAAACTCTACCATGTATTGAGTGCTGTACTTTTTATGTTAGGAATAGCAGATTATTTTCAGTACTTGAAACACCAGCTCTTCAACTCATTAACATCATCATGGTTATTCTCATCCTTGAAAATCTTTCTCTTTTACTTTTTTTTTAATTTTTAAAATTTTTTGTAGAGACAGGATCTCACTGTGTGGCTCAGGCTGGTATCAAACTCCTGGCCTCAAACAGTCCTCTTCCGCCTCAGAATGCTGGGATTATAGGCATGAGCTGTAGCACCCAGCCAGTCCCCCACCCCGCTTTTCCTTTTTTGAGACAAGGTCTTGCTCTGT